CTGGATTGGTTGTGGTCCATCTAGCTTTATAATGCAGCCTACACCATATTAATTATGTGTCTTCAAGGATTCAAGTGATTACAATGACCATGCAAGTATTTTTCCTTCTCCACAGAAGGAGGTATTTCTGCAGCACAGGATCTTGTTTCAGTAGGTGTTTTGGATTTGTTTTTTTTTGCCTGTTACTTTAGTTTGGACTGGGGAAGAGGTTCTTCTTCAATTCAGTACATGCTGACCAGGACCTCAACTCCATGGGAAGAGAGTGCATAAAATAGCAAATGGCAGCTCTAGCTGTGCTTGAGAGAGTCACCAGCACTGTACTGATCCCCTGTTCCTCCCACTGGATGCCCCTTGGCAGGGCTGCCCCATCACTCCTAGAAAAAGCCAGCACCCTGCAGTGATCAGCAGCCCCAGCACAGCTGAGCCACCCGTGCTGCTCATGGGGCACATTGAGGACAACTAATTTTCCATGAACCATGGTAATTAACGTGTCTCCCTTCGAGTACACAGAGGTGCTGGAGGCCACTAACTTTGACAGCTGTGGTATTTCTTTCCCTAAATGCCTCTTAGCCAGTGTGTCAGTGGGAGATGTTACACAGTTAGGACAGCTCCATGCCCTTCTCTAAGTGTCTGTCCTCGCTTTATTTCAGCCTAAATACATTCTGCAGTGGATATGTGCCCCTCCTAAGTGGAAGATCCTGTTCATTTTAATGGCTCCACTCCCTTGAATGAGGACAAGACAAAAGTTGGCTGGATCAACTCTTTGCCCTAACCCAGCCTGTTTCAGTATCCTTAAGCACTGTAATGATTTTCTTTGGAAGCAGGAAGCATAAATTTAAATTAAGAACATAGCTTAAGGAGAAGCAAGATCTTTTAACACCCAGCACTGGAGTTTTACTTGAAGAATGTGCACTGAGAGAGTCAGAGTGGAACGATCTTTTTGTTCTCTTTGTACAGCACCTAAGGCAGTGCTGCCAAAGCCACAGAGGAGGCTCCTCAGCAACATCAAGTAACTACAGCAGTACTAGTGCCCAGGGTCTGTGTCTGTGAAAGCAACTTTTCTCTTCTCTTGCTTCCATCCTTGTCCCTGGATTGGACTAGCAACCTGTATGGGTTGTGTTTTCCATTTAGGCTGACCTCAAACACTTGGTTTCCCCTTGATTGGAAACAAGTGTGCTGAAAGCTGTCTGCTCTTTCTTCACTACACAATGTGGACTGCTGCCTGGCTCCTGTCTGGAAACAATTATTTCCCTCATGTACCTACTGGTTCTGAACACTCAAAGACTTATCCCTGGACATTCTTTTCCTTTTTGCACTTTTATTAGCCCCTTCCTTTATAAACAGAACGTGTCATTGTATATAATGCCCACAGAACAGCTCTAGCTCTGTTACTTGACAAAATTGCTGCCATGTTTTAAGGCCAGGTCTCCCTTGAGAGAGTTTTGTATCTGTAAACGTGCCATAGTGAATTCACCACTCCTTTGTCTCTTCTGAGAGGATGAATTTTTGATGGTGTTTGAATTTGTGGGACTTAAAGAAAGGGTGGGACTTCAAGCACACGTTGTGGTTACAGTGGTGTAAATATTCTTCAACAACCCCAAAGAATGGTCAAAACACTCACACACAGATGTGCAGTAATGCCTCCAAGTATTTGCAGATGCTATCAGTATAGCATAATGCAGCTGTTTTAAAAAGGAACTTACCTGTTTATCGGCCTGTATTCCTGGATTTATTCTTTCTTTCAAATGCTCCTACTTTTTGATGTGTGTATGCAGACACGAGGGAATATGAGCAACAGATGACCAGAATCTGCAAATATTTGCACACAGGGGTAAGCTTATGCCATGGACAGTGCCATTATACTGAGCAGGGTCACTATTCTCAGAGAGATTGATCTCATACTTTATTTCACAAAGACTAGTTCCCAACTAAGCACAGACTGTGAGGAAACTAACTGGAGTGGAAAGAGTCTATAAATTTCTTTTCCTGCCCTGAATTCAAAATAGCGTTTCTCTTACTGGAAAAACAAACATAAGCTCATTTTGGGTGTCTCTGTCTGCCTGCCTGTGGGATTGGTAGTCCACACCTTCTGCCAATTCGGAGACCTCTCTGCCCCCGTTTATGCTCTAGAGGTTATGTCTTAATTACAGAAAAGCTGATCTGCTGTGACATCAATTTCCCTCTCTAGGGGAAATTCCTAGCTGTGAAATCCTAGCAGAGGCAAATTGCTGTTCTTTTTTCTTTTTCTTTTTTTTTTTTTTTTTTTTTCCTTTGGCCAGTCCAGATCAACCCCAAAACTGCCATCTCGGTTTGACCTTGACTACTGCTTTGAGAGTGAATCGGAGAGCCTGCTCTCTCTCCTAAAGTGCTGACGTACAGACAACTATTTCCAATGGGTTATCTTGATACAGAACTCGGGCTGTATCACAGCCAAGAGCCTGCTGCTCCTGCCAAGCAGGACCCAAGCCTGGGGGCTGCAGGAGCTGAGAAAGTGCTGTGAATCAAAAAGGATGGGCAGTGTCCTGAACGAGGACGCTGCAGCCCTGCCTAAACCGGGGGCAACATCACAGCAAGTCAAAGTCTCTCTAGAGAGATGTGGGGATCATCCTACCTCCCTTGGGATGTGCTCACCCACAGCCACGCAACCTGGCAGAGGGAGGGCTTTGTGCCAGCCTCGGGCTCGTGTGAATGAGATGACCAACACGCAGAGAAGCAGCAGGACTGAGCCGTGCTGCCTGGGGAAGGGGGATGCCGGGGGAAATGGCTGTGTCAGTCCGTGCCTTCGAGCCGGCTGCGTGGGGAGGTGGGTGGCCTCGGGCTGCGCGCTGCTGGCGCTGCCGGCACCACCCTTTGCCTTGACCGCTGTGCCCGGGGAGGGCTCTGGTGGCCGGCAGCGCTGGGGCCGGGATGCGGAGGCGAGCCGGGGATGCCCCCCCCGAGCGGTGCCGGGGCTGGCCGGGGGCTCTGCCGAGCCCGCACCGCACGCCGCGGCCGCGGGTGGAAAATGCCTCGTGTGCCTTGAACCCACAGCCCAGCCACCAAAGCACGGCGACGGTGTTGTTTGTTTTTTTTTTTTTTCTTAGTTAACAATGGAAACTTTTTTTTTTCAGTATTTCCCTCCAGCCTGAGCCGAGCGACAAGAGAAAAAAAAAAAACTTGTTCCGCTGAGTTCAACCCCAGACAGACTCACAACTTCCTTCCTGCTCTCCTACCTCCCTCCCTCCGCTCTCCTCCTCCTCGCCGCTCCTCTCCCTCTCCTCCTCCTCCTCCTCCTCCTCCTGCTCCTGCTCCTGCTCTCTCCGCCTTTCCAGCCGCACCGGGAGCGGGCGCCGGGACCGCGGCGCGGAGCTGCCCGGAGCCGCCCGGAGCGCGGAGCCGCCCGCGCAGCCTCGGCCGCCGCGGCGCGGAGGGGCAGAGCCCGGCGCGGCCGGCCCGCCCCGGGGCGAGGAGAGGCGCTCGGGGCCGCGGAGGGAGCGGGAGTCCCGGCAGCCCCGCGGCGATGGTTTCGGCAGCGCCCCGCGGCCGCCGGCGGGCGCTGCCGGGCGGCGCGCACTGAGGGCGGGCGCGGATCCCCAGCCCAGGTAAGCAGCGGCGAAGGGGAAAGGCAGGGGGGTCACGGCCGCCCCTCCGCCGGGGGATGTCCGGCAGCAGCGGCGGGCGCCGTGCGGGGGCCAGCCGGACCCCGCGGGGAGGAAGGGGCGAGCTGGGGGCGCGCAGAGGGGCAGGGTGCTGCCCTGGGCTGTCCCGCAGCCGAACTGTGGCCGAGCACCTTGTGCCGGTGCTCGCTTGGGCAGCCGAGTCCGGGTGCTTGGAGCTGTGCCGGGGATTCCTGCAAAAAGTGGCTGTCCGCGCTGCCTGGGCTCTGCTGAGCCTCGCACTGCCTGCAAGCAGTGCCTGGAGGGATGGGAAGCCCTTTGGTCACACCGTCAGCTGGGACTGCGCTTGGACTTGAGGGCATTTACCTGCCAGGAGCCTCACAGGGATACCGCTGATAGCATCGCACACGAGTGCTTCCAGAGGCGTGTACACCCATAGCCGGAGTTAGCGCACTGTGTGTAAACAAGTTTGTACTCTCATGTGGGCAGTGTGTTTGTGCAGATCTCAGGAGCGCCCATGCCCCGGCATGGGATGGGGACTGCAACTCCAGGGCACATGGAGCAAACAGGAGATGACGGAAAGCACACTGACATGCACAGGGGAACAGAGAGCCACCTCCAAAAGCAGAGCCTCTCTCACGTGTGTACACAGTCACACACTCGCCACAACAAACAGCACTGCACATCTCTGTATGTGGGGTTCCAGGCTGTGACTTGGAGGCATTTGCAGCCTGCATTGTCCCGGACAGCAGATGTGCTCAGGGAAGGCACATTTAGCCAGGGCATTCATGAAGATGTGCAAAGCCGTGTTGTTACACATGGGAACTTAAAGGACTAACTGGAGATGTGACCCTGTACCATACGCAACAGTGCAATCAGGGAGTCGTCCCATGTATCATATAACATAAATCCATTCCTGAGACTTGGTCTTGCTGTAGATGACAGACTGTAGGGTGGCAAATTTAAGTTGTTTGGAGTTTTTTATCTTCCTTTAGAAAATGCCAGGTTTTGGGGTGAGCGCTTGAAAGCTGCCAACTTTCAGTTCACACCAGTTCACTGTAATTCTCTTATTCTGTTGTGGGAATGGCTGCTGGCTGTGTGTCCTCTCGGACACTGCTGCTGCAGCCGTGTCGACAGGCAACCTGGAGAGGGGGCAGGGAAGAGGGGAAACAGCCGCAGACCTGACTTCCCTTTCCCTCAGATCTTTCTGATGGCTGGCCTGTGTCTCCACGGGTGGCACACTGGACAGGTGGGAGGGGCGCGCAGGAAGGGAAGAGTCTGGCACGCTGTGTGCCCAGCTGCATGGTGAGCTGAGGGAGGGCACAGAACTACTCTCACTGCTTCTCTCTCCTCAGCTGTCCCGTTTTATGGAGCTGCGGGCTAGCAGGGCCAGCCCAGCTCCCCGTTCTCCTGCTGGCGATGCTGCTGCTCCCGTCGTGCAGAGAACCCGGGCGGCCCCGCAGAGCCTGAGCGCCGAGGCGGCAGTGGCGACGGCCCCCCTGTGCTCCCCGGCTGACTACTATGGCCGTGTACTGCTATGCGCTCAATAGCTTGGTGATGATGAATAGCAACAGCGAGGTGACAAGCGGCGGGAGCAAGACGCCGCCTCCTCCCGGACAAGTGCTGCCCAGGGGTCCGGAGACGCCCGGCAGCTGCCGCTCGCTCCCCGTCTTCAGCCCGGCCCCGGTGCCGCCCCGCTCCCCGCGCTGTGGCCCCGCTTTCCTCTTCCCCCTGCCTGAGGAGCCCCTGAGGCAGCCGGGCAGCCCCGTGGGACGGCGGGGCAGCCGGGGCGAGGAGGGACAGCCTGGGCCTCCCATGGCACGGCAGCTCCAGCGGGAGCTGCACAACGTGCAGGTGAACCAGAAAGTGGGGCTCTTCGAGGCACACATCCAGGCGCACAGCTCTGCTGCCCAGCCGCCCCGCAGCCCCCGGCTGGGCCGGCCCCGTCCGGCCAGCCCCACGGCACCAGTGGTGGCACTCGGGACTGGACCCCGGCCCCGAGCCCTCGGAGAGAGCGAGGCCCCCGATGCTGGTGGGGGGCAGCTTTGTCTGAGCACTGCAGAGCCCCCCAGGAGGTCAGGGATGACGGTGGAGCTGGCAGAGAGCAGCAGCCCCCTGGAGCAGTCCGGGCCTGCAGCACGGCCGGAGGAGGTGGTGGTGGTTCCCACAGGACTGAAGGGCCAGCACCCGGCCATCGGTGGGAGCATCCCTGCCGTCATTGTCACAGACCTGGGGGGCCCGGAGGAGGAGGCGGGCGCCGTGCCCCCTGGCAGCCTGCCCGTCCGGAAGCTCTCATCGTCCTCTGCGTCTTCCACTGGCTTCTCCTCGTCCTGGGAGGAGTCCGAGGAGGACATCTCCAGTGACCCCGAGCGCACCCTGGACCAGACCCCCGCCTTCCTGCAGACCCTGGACCAGCAGAAACCCCGAGTGGTGAGTCTTGCAGCAGCCCTGGGGAGGTGGGCTGAAGGGTGGTGGTGTCCCTGCTCCAAGGCATGGCTGCAGCAGCAGGGCACAGGTCTGTTGCAGCAGAGTTCTGCAGAGAAACTTTACACTTGCTCAGTGGTGCTCGCTTTCCCTCACACGAAAAGCTTTCAGACTTGGAAGAGGGGTTCCTAGCCGGAAAATCCTCTCAAGAGAGAGTAGTGGTACCTGTTTCATTGTGCACAGTCCTTGCAGAGCTTCCCTGGTGCTGCAAAGCTGCCTGCCAGCATGCTTAAAATACATCCATGGACTGCAGCCTTCTGCTGACATGTGGTTACGAGCCTCAGTTTTTCCTCAGCACAGCTTCCCTGGGTGCTGGAGGTTTCCCATGGTTTACATGAGCCTGAGGGAGAATTTGTTTCCTCCCTGGAGTTGAAACTGTGTGGGCCAACTGTCTGTTCAGGTTTACAGTGATGCCCATCACCACAACGTCTCTGTGTCTTTCACACAGAAGCAAAATACTCTAGAATTTCTGGTAATTCCCCTTTTTGAATAATACTTCTTGGTTGTGGGGTATCTTATATTTTAGGTAAGCGTATTTTTATTAGGTATTTATATTAAGTTCATTTTGTTTCAGGATCTTTGTTGTGGAGCTGGTTGTGAGGCTTAAGGCGAGAGAAATCATCGCCTTAGTTGATTTGTGTTACTCTTAGAGAAGAAAGGTCTCCTCAGAGAGGAGAGCTCTGAGGCATTCTCCAAAGGCATGAGACAGTCATGGGGTTTGTTGTGTCACTAGAGGAGTTCATTGCATGTGTGAGTGCATCACACAGAGCCTGCTTTACTCTGAGCTGTCACACCAGTTGTCTGGAGGGCTTTGAACCACTTTAACCCAGTGCAGGGCACCCATCACGAGGTTCTCCAACCAGCACATGGTCTCTGCTCTCATCCAGCTCTGAGACATTCCATTGATTTGAGCCCAGCACTGGAGCATCCCACTGACAAACCTTGAAACATACCGGACAACACAGTGGCTCCTTAGTTTAAAGAATTTAACAAAGGCTCATGAACTTTCAATGATGTATTTCACTATGTTTAATTTCCTGTAGACACATGGTAGTGAAACTCCTGCTAAATGCAATGACACAAGGAAAACTAGTGCAGGGAAACATCTAAGTGAAGGCATCAAACTTGGAAGAACTGAGACTGTGGTTTGTGAAACACTCAGCAGGCTGAAATAAGTATCTTTTCTTTTGTACTCCTTTTGTCCTATTCCAAGAACCAGGCTTGGTTCTGCTCAAGATGGAGCAGCAGCTGAGTAAAAGCAGTTAAGAAAGTTATGAGCCTGTAGTTCATCGTGTTTGCAGACAGTTTTGTATTTTGGGGCTCTCAGCTGATGAATCAGCTTGTTCCCTTTGGGAGCTGCTACAATCCCTCTGCTGATTAAATTCTGCTGGTTTTATGTGCATGAGCTGTAGTAATCTCTGCTCCATTCTCTGCGCTAATGACTGTTCCTAGTGCCAGATCCCACTGATTTGCTGCTGAAAACAGTTCATTGATGGGCAGAAGCATGCCTGATGCTCCTGTGGAAAGCTTCCTGGAGCCTCAGGCTGACTCTGCACAACCTCCCGTGGCCTCCAGTGAGCTCAGCCAGGCCGGCAGTGGCTCAGCAGTGAACAGGCAAGGCTCATTTGTATTGCTAAAAGCTCTGGATGAGAGCGAGCTCAGATCAGGTCTAAGATCAGAGTAACTGCTGGGCTCCATGGGACTACTCAGGCTAAACGAGATGAAGATGTGGTCCAAAATGTGTCAGGCAGCCTAAGGAGGTGCACTTGATTTTGTGTTTCAGTGCTGGAGTCTCAGCAGGGGCAGCAAGGCTAATTTACAATGATACTTTCCACTGGGCTCCACAGGTCCCATGCAGGGCTGATCACTGACTTTGGCAGGTTATAGTCAATTTCTCAGCAGGATCATGTGCAAATGCCCAGTAATTCAAAACTGATTTTGTATAAATAACACCCAGCTTTGTGTACTGGTTGGCAGTATCTTGTAAATCCATAATGACAGCAGAAGGCAGCTACTGAAGCAGTGTCAGGTTGCACACTCATTTGTTTTCATGAACTCACTGTTTCCTTTCAACAACGCACACAGTCTGGAAATGAGTTGTGTAATGAGGGAGAATGTGTGAGAAGCTCTCTCCACAACTCATGCTTTTAGTCAAATCCTGGGAGATCTCAGCCCAGAGAAACCAAGGTGCCTCTGGGTGCCTGTGGGTTGAGTAGATGAACGCAGGGCAGGCAGAGAGCCCTGCCTGTCTGCACTGGGCACTGCTGGCACAGGGGAGGCTCTTGTACCTGCAGGAGAGGTAATGAGGAGAGGCAGGAAAGCAGTTCCTGCTGCAGATACGGTCTGTGCTGCACATCTCACATAGAATGTTTACAGATTTGATAAACAGCAGGCCTGCTCCTGCCCTTCCTTTTTGGAGGCTGTGTGGTTTAGCAAATCTGTTAGGGATGTCCGGCGGCCTATTGTAGTTCCTCCTGACATCCCGGGGAAACAGGCACATCCCTCCGGCTGGCATGGACTTGTCCTCCATTTGTCCTGCAGGTAGGAAACTTTGTTTGTGTTCAGGCCTGAAAATTGGCCAGTAAGAAAATCATGTTGCCAAGTGCAAGGGAAGGAGGTATTGTGGCCACAGTTTTGGACGCTGTGACCCAGAGCAGCTCTCTTGAGTGAAACGGGCTCTGTGTCTGTTTGTTGAAACAGTTTGCTCAGTGCTGTCCCTGTCCCTGTCCCTGGATAGCACCAGGGGACAGTGACCCTGCCACGGTGGTTGCAGACGTGTGAAGTGCAGTGACAGTAAGAGCACGGTGACGTTTTGCTGTTTAATTGCAAATCCACTTAAGGTCTGAGTAAACTTCCACGTAAGGGCTTCTGCAGCTGTGGCTTTCCCCGGGCTGTGGGCTGCTGCCGGAGAAACCCCACGCTTGTTTGTTGATGGTTTCACAGACACTTGAGCGATTGCACTTCTGGGGCTGTGTGGGAGGGATGGGCTGTCCGGGCAGCACCTTGGGATGGGACACTGTGGTTTGGAAATGCCACAGGGGAGCACTCTGTGCACACCCCCTGTGACCAGCACGGGCAGTTTGGGGAAGGAGCTGACCTGAGGCCTCTGCTCACCAACCGCCTGAGGCAGGAGGATGCAGAGACTGCTGGAAGGCACCTGCCTCCCTTGCTGTCTCATGCTGATGGGGAGAATCTCTCCCCTCCTGGCTGATCACACAGGTTGGGTGTGTAGGGAAGGGAGAAGGTGCTCCTTTGTCCCAGCTTCTGAGTGGTGCAGGTAGCCTGAAATGGCAGCCCAGTCTCTTGAGGAGATTTCACACCTAAGACAAGATACCTTCTAGCTGTGACTCCCACTGGCTTCTCGACTGGAAAAATAGCAGAGTATGAGCTTTGCCATTCTGGGGGCTCTGTTGGCTCTTCCCAAGGAAGAGCTGATAACCAGGATGTACTCTGCAGCAGGAAACTTGTCCCACTCTTGGAAACTGGCTGCGCCCCTTAAGCAAAAGATATTCCAAAGCTGGTCATTAGTGAGTTCTTGTCATTGGCCTAAATTCCCTAGTTTGTCAGCTTCTCCAAAACTGGAGACAAAGCAACAGACAAGTGGGGGGAAAGGCAGGAACTGTGCAAGTAAGCACGTACTATAGAAAAATGACATGTTGGGGGGGAAAGGAACCCCTTCCTGGAAAAACAGTGCAAGACACTGCAGTGTTCCTCTTCCTGGCTTTCCCACAGCTGCTGTGGAAACACAAGGATGTACAGCAGAATAGTAATCAAGGGACTTGGTACTCTGTGAAACTTCTGCTCCTTTCGGCAGGCTGAATAGATTTCTCAGAATAAGAGACTTCCATTAACCTGTGCGAAATGGCAAGGACTTTTGGAAAAAGCTAACGGCAGTGCTGATGACAGGCATTCTTTTAATTGATTTATTTGTTTGACTCACAATGGCTGTTAATGCAGTCCTGAAAGGAGCCAAGTTTAGATAGGGCTAGTGTCAGCCAAGGGCCTCTGGGACCTTTGCTTATTTCTCTTTGAGATGTTCCAAGGCATAAGCTGACAACAGGAGTCCTGATTTGTTCCTATAAAAATCAATCAAATTAAATATGCTTTCATTCCCTTTCCAAGCTGTCGCTGTGATCAGGAAGTCTCCCTGTTACAGAAACCATGACCACATGGCTGTGGTGATACATGCAAGCCCTGTGAATATATATCTTTATGCCAAGTGTGTTTATGTGTTTTACTCCTTACTCCCACTGTGTTTGTCTTAAAAGCTCCTAAGCTTATGAGCTAGTGAGTGGTATCTCTGATTTAGTATCAATATAATGCCTGGTGTGTTAGGGCCCTGCTGGCTTACTCAGAAGAGCGACTGTTCTTTTAGCAGTGCACATCATTGACAGGGAAGATGCTTAGCACACCTGGTAGCTGCCAAAGGATGGAGTCTCCTTGCTGCAGGAAGACCAGGGGGAGAGGGGAATGAGGTGGGCACCTGTGTGTTTCCCCTTTCAGAGCAGCAGGCTCAGCAGGCCTGGCAGCACGGCGTGTTCTGCCTGCCAGGATGGGATGGGGACACCCCGGTGCTCACAGGGCTGGGCAGAGCTTCAGGCTCTTTGTGGATGGAGGCTGTGCACTCCAGGGACTTCACAAAGCACCACTCCCTATTCCATAGCTAATCCTCTACCTACTCACGTCACCTTCTCGGGGAATAAGAAGCTTTTTTATGGGCTCCCACCCACGGAGGCCAAGTGAAGATGCTGCCATAACCCAATGAGAGACATATGGTGCTACTTCAAGTCTGTTTTCATCAGCACTTTTAAGCTCATTGGGAAGGGTTTCTTCTCTTTGCATATTCTCCATGATTGACAGGGCAGGAATTACATGGCACATAGCAGATCCTTTTCATAGAGGGACTCACTTGCTAGCACAGCTGCTGTCTCTTGCATATTTTGTTT